GAATCATCTCCAGCTGTTCTCACATCCCATTTTCGACACCCATGCTTGTGAAGGTAACATTTATTGCTCAAATATTGCTTTTTCATATCCCAGCACACATAATAGTGTTCTCAGGTATGTTTCAGTTAAGTATGAACTTTGTTTCTCCGGAAATGGAGAAATAAAAACTTTCAAAAATAAATCAGCTAACATATTCCAAAGCAGGGTTTTCACAGCAAAGAACCACATTCAGCAAACAGTTCTTAAAATACATTTTATTTTATTTTATTCATGTTAAGAACATTTTAATAATCTAAAGAACCTTTTTCCACTGTAAAGAACCTTTTATCCAATGAAAACATTCCAAGCAGGGCTGCACGATTATGACACAAATCATAATTGTCGATTATTCCCTTGAAATTGTAATTGCGATTATTAATTACGATTATCACAAGAATGATGTTTATACCCTTGTTTGATGACACTGCATGCCGTATTTTTATATGAAAATAAACAAGCTGAAAACACTAACTGAAAAACGTTTAGTGCTTTTCTATAGTATTAAGCCTCAAATGTCAATTATACATCGGACTGGTTTCTTTTTCAAATTATAAAAAAGTAAAAATATGAATGGTATTATAATGTTATACTAAAACTAAAATTAAAATAATGGGAAAAAACCTTAAGATAACATGTAGACAGAAAAAAACGCATCTTAAGCGTGCAGAATAACATAAGTGGACTTTGAACGATTAATTGCAGCTTTGACCGATTAATTGCCGCTTTAATCGCGATTAGAAATTCGATTAATTGTGCAGCCCTAGTTACAAGGATGTTAAAGGTTCTTTTATGGAACCAATGATGCCAAAAAAAGAACCTTATTTTAAAAAAAAAAGTACTACAAAGCTGTAACATGAAGCTCAGAGAAATATTTGAGTTCACATTTGAGATCTCTGACTTTTGATCCATATTTACCAAGTATTTGGTAAATATTGTCTTAACCTTTATTGAACAAAATGTAAGATTTTCGGAGTGTTCTTCACTTGAGAAGCAAAAGTGCCCCTCACTGCCGTCTGGGAGAAACATAGATGCTAAAGCGATCTCATCTGTGGTTTGTCTCATTTTTATCTATCCAGCGCGCTCACACACGCTCTCCTCATTAAGTCTAGAAGCACAGATCTGACCTGAATACATATTAGACGTGAGGGACGAAATCTCCATGACTGATTTAATAAGCATCAGATCCTTCACCTCTGGCTGACGCTTCATTCCTCTACATCCGTCCGCCGCGGAGCTTCTGCTAATAGACCGAGGACACGAGACTTTATCAAGCTCCTACACGCACTTAATCAAGTGTTTAAGGACAAGCAGCGCGCTCAATCAAACCTCGGACAACACGACACGTCCATTGTGGCTGAAACACGCTCCCCTCCTGCTGTCGTGCTGGTGGCGGAGGAATTCCCACATCCCATTTTGGCATGAACGCAGCTTTCCAAGCCTGCTTTAGAGAAGGACGAACGAGTGAAGGACGGCTCTGATGTGATGCACGAGCTCCCTCGAACCCAGCCTCGGTCAGTCTGCAGTGTGTGTGTGAGAGAGAGAGAGAGATGCTCCAGCCTCACATGATTCTCTCCTCTCCTCTCCTCCACCCTGACAGGGTTGCCGTATATATAATATATATATATTTTTTATATTTAATATAAATAATTTGCATGGATAATTTACATAAAAATAATTGTAAAAAAAATCTTCACAGGTCAGAATATTAGAATATTTTAACTACCTAAATAAAATAGGACTAAAAAATAGTATTAAAAAGAAATAAGTAAATAATATATTTAATGTAAATCATTTATATTTATAATGTACAAATTACAAATTAATGTACAATTTAAATTAATAATTTATTTAAAAGATAAAACAATTCAATAAATATATTCATAGGTCAGAAATGTAATACATATTTAATATAAAGAATTAACATTTATAATTTACATATTAAAAACTAAAAATCTTCACAGATCAGAATATGATATTATAATATTTAACTAGCTAAATAAAGTAGGACTAATAAAAATAGTAAAAAGCAAGCAGGAAAATAATAATAAAATATTAATTAATGTACAATAAAATGAATAACAATGTACAAGGAATGAAAGATATGTAATTATATTTAATAGAAATAATTGACATTTGTAATTCATTAAAACATTATAAACAATTTAATAAATATATCCACATGTCAGAATTTTAAAAACATTCCAAATATTGGACAAATAAAACCAGTAAAAAAAAAAAAGCAAGAAATATTAAAAATGATTTATGATTAAGATGAATAAAACGTAATAAATAAAAATACACTGAATAAAAATGTATTGCAATGAATCAAAAAGCCTAATAATATTTAAAATATATATTTATATATAAAAGTAATTATAAACAATTAAATAAATACCTTTGCAGGCCAGAACGTGAAATTATTATAAAATAAATAAAAATGGACAAACAAAAAAACAGTGAGTGTTAAAAAGGCCCGCTGCAAATGAACTTTTATTTTGAAATGTTCTGGCGATCAGGCACTGTTTGAATGTGCTGTCAATGCAGCAACCTAAAGACACTAAGCTCCGCCCATGTTCAGCAGGTGGCAGTGATTAGCATTTGGTAGAAATAGTCCGCACAGAGTAGGGGAAAGCAGAATGGGCTTGATGCTTTCTCAAGTTTGGTGTTGTGTGCGTATGTTAGATGAACCAAGTAAGTTTATTTATGTACTTCAGCTCTTGATAGCTGTGACCCTTCTGAATTTGTTTTGTTGATGTTTATTGTTTAAGGGTACTTTAAATGTAATGACAGATTGTGGTCACATATGCTCCTTATGTTGATTGCTCTGTGAAGTGTTTTTTTTTCCTACCTTGAATGGTATGGATTTACCTACTTTATTGATTTGTTTATTCTAATTTGTTGTTGGATCCCTTTGTTAAAGACCACACACATGGAAGCACCAAAGTAATGTCTTGCACTTATTGATGGGACATTCATGGAATGGTTGTGGAGAAAATAAAAGCATCAAGAACCTTAAACTGCATCTTTGTCTCTGACCGGACATCTGTGGTGAACTAGTCCCCCCACTGGCAACCCCAACTGGTTTAGCTTTACCAGTTTTCTTTAGTGAGCAAGCAAGAAATATAGAAGATATTAAAATGAATAAAAACTAATAGAAATGCAATACAGTGAATAAAGAGATGTATTATATTTCATATAATTTAAATTCGTAATTAAATAAATATTCACTGGTCAGAATGTGAACATAATTAACAAAATAAGTAAAACAGGACAAATAAAAACAAAAAGCAAACATTTATTAATAAAATGGATACTTAATAAAAAACAATAAAATTATTCTAGAATTTAAAATAATTAACATTTATAATTTATATAAAAATAATTAAGATATCACATGGATTTTAACTTATCTCAGGGAAAAATTTAAGGTTTATCTAAGATGCCTAAGTATTTTTTTTCTTTACATAAGTCTATGGCACATATGTTACATTGTCATCAAAACAAAATATGATGTACAAAATCACTTGATGTTTTTGTGATGGGTAGTTTCATATGGTGACAATACTATGTTGTCAAATGATTTCTTTATTAAAAAACATAACGCAAAATACAATTTGAAAAAAAAATAATAATAATAAATAAATATATATATATATCAGCTGCCACTGAAGAGTATTGCAGTGGTTAAGTGTAGACAATGTGTCCAGCTCATAAAACCTGACCTGAATACTACAGAAACTCTGAAAAAATGACATGCCAAAAGCAGAAAGTCATCAAGTGTCGTGCCAAAAACAACCGTCCCCACACACAAGCGCACTTTTATTTCTGGGTAATAAACCTCAGTCAATTTCTGCTGAAATATATCTCTGTTTTATCCATAAAACTGCTCAGCCCTGGAGAGAAACTTAATACAGACAATCACCAACACAAGGACTCTGAACAGAGTAAGGCCTGTTCAAATCCGTCTGTCTGTCTGTATATCTGCCTGTCTCTCTGTCTGTTTCCGTTTTGAAGAAATCTAGTTCGATATTGTTTGGGCTGATGACAAATGGAGGATGCACAGATGTTGGTTTATGAGTTTCAAGGACTGGGATCAGGAGTGCTCAGCCTTGAGGTGTTAACAAAGAGATGTTTGTTATGACAGCGACAGGAGCCTCTCAAGAGCTGCTCAGGGGCCCACTGGAGTCTCCAGAACTTCCTTACGTTCCGTTTCACATGATGCAGAGATGCACACACACACACACACACACATGCGCACACACACACACACACACACA